GATATTCTATAAAATATAGACTTTCGATTGTAAATTAATTTTAACTTGTTGCTAGATTTTGTTTGTTTTTTTTTCTTTTGTGCTTGATCAATTAAAATATGCCTTGGTAAATATGACTAGTTTATATACAAATTATAAAAATTGTTGTGTCTGATACGTTTACTAACTTATCATGTCCTAACAATGAGGCGTTATATATTTAATGGATATATGTAGGTATCGCCAAATGAGCAAGAGCCACCTTGGGCCTTATTGGGCCCTGACAATTTATGAAAAATCAAAACCGCTCAGTTAAGGTTGCAAATGCAGTTTTTAAAGTGTATATGACTTGGAGTGCTGGTGACCACGTATTTATTAATCATGACGTAATTTTCCCTCTTGTTGATGCATTATGACGTCATAATTTGCGTCAATCATCCTCATATCCTCTAAATGCCTTTGGAAATGGCCAAAAATATAGATATTTATTCAATATTTTATATAGAGCACAAATTCTGATCCAAAATACTAGTATGCAAATACATAATGAAATATCTGTTTCTGAAGATCAAAAAACATGTTTTATTTTTCGGATTGGAGACTGTGCTCATATTTTAATTCTTTGCTGAAGGTAGTCAAATACGTAAGTTTTCTGCAAATTTCAAGAACATTTCAATTTCTCAGAGCCTGTTTTCAAATGTCTGGATGCTCAAAAAGAAATTATATTATATGAAATAAAAGTATCAAGTGCCTACTCTATTTTGATTTATGTAATAGGAAAGAGGATTGTAGTTAATTAATTGATTACAGGCCCATTTTATGCATAAAGAGAACCTATCTCTTTATACATGTATCACGATATATATAATATTTAAAAATAAAAATATGAAATACGAGTATAAGTTACCAATGGATAACTTTCACGTTATAATCATATTTTTAACAGCTCTGGTCGTTTATTTATTTGGTATATGTTTTTTAAACACAGATGTATTGCTTATAATTATTTTAGATCGATAACTGCTCGTTAACACCACCCTAATATCATTAATTCATGGTATCTGAGTATCCTAATGACAAAAATATGTACTTAATGTGCCAACAAATTAATTAATAAATGTAGAGTAGTTTCAATATGTGTATTTGATTTGTAATTTAGTGGAAAGCAATAACAAATACTCATACATAGTTTCTTAAGCAAATAAGTATGGGAGTAACTTTATAATAGAAATACTTCTGTACCTAATCTGAATTATGAAATGATTTTTTTTCCTTTATTTCTTATGAAGACCATTGTCATTCATCAGTGCTTAAACGACACTAATGGCTGTTCCATCAGTTGTGCATACAATGGTATAATTATTCTAATATAATACACAGTTTAACATATTTAATTTTACTTTTAAGGTTTTGTCCATAAAGATGTAAACACTAAAATGTCTTTTTTGGTTGTTAGCACTGGAATTAACGCCGCAGCTATTTCATTATTTTACTATTTTATTATTTTAGATCGATAACTGCTCGTCAACACCACCCTTTTCATTAATCCATGGTATCTGAGTATCCTAATGACAAAATATTGATGAATTTAATCTCGTACCAACCCGCATTTATAGCCTGATAGATGTTTTAAAATGATACCTTATTACTTATATTTACATTTGTGACTTATTCATAAGGATATGGAGATAACAAACAGTATTCAATCTCAAAGTCCATTAAACAATATACAAAATAAGAGCAGAGCAAACACGGACCTCCGAAACATCAGAGGTGGGACCAGGTGCCATGGAGGAGTGAGCATCCCCTGCCGACCGGTCACACTTTACATTTGCCTTATTGTGACTTTTAACGTGTGAAATGCACTATATTTCAAACCAAACGGCAAGTATGTAAATCACAAAACGCGCTTCGACCCTTTATGACGTCACTGAGAAATTACGTCAAACGTATATCCATACGGACATCTATGACCTCTTGACCCCGTACCTGTATTTATACAGTTATAGATACGCATTGCATTCAGTAGTGTTATGTAAAGGAAATCATTTGCAAATGTAAATATATGTGAATAAAGTGAATGGAAAAAATTGCATTCAGAACAGCATAACACGGAAAAGGGATTAAAAGATTGTGACGATTTATTCTGACGTCACAAACGTTGAACGCCGGAGAAATGCTACGTCATATGCAAAATACAAATATCACACTACTTTGAACACAAGCTTTTTCCCTTCCATTAACTGGAACTTACCTGAACAGTTATACAGGGATTTGAATTATAAATCACATTTGCAATGAAAGGATGGAAGTATACAATGTAAATATACTGTGAAATCAAAAAAAAAGCATGGGGGTTTAATTTTCGTCGTTTTCGAGGTATGAAGAGACACACGAATTCATATCCACCATGAAATGTAAAATATTACATACATTACTTCTCAACAATTCTTCATTCACGAAATCAAATCCCCACGAACCAAAGGTTCTTCCTCAAACCATGAAAAATGACTTCACGAAAATATGTGTTTTCAAAGTGAGCAATTTATCATTATTTTTTTTTAAATATAGTCTCATAACTGCAACTGTGTGTTCAAACTAATTCTTTTAACGTTCTAACGTTTGTAAAAAATAATGATTCGTTGCTTTAAAAAAAATTAATTTGATAAAAATGGTATTCCAGGAAGGTATGTAATAGATAACCTATATGCAAGAATTAATATTAAAATTAGGATTTTTGATAATAAATCTACACATTAAAACGTTATTTTTTGATGTTTAACAGAACAGATAGTCTTCATCCTGCATTGTCATGCCTTTATCATAAAAAAAATACTGTGGATGGCACTGTAGGTCTCTAGTCGGCAATCTTAATTTTTTCAGACCAGCAAGCTACAGAGCTGCAGCTATAGAACATGTACATTATGATAGACGTGTATCATTTAATGAGATCTGTTTATATGATGGTTTGATGGGACGTGCGCCTAAATACCAAACCAGATACTATTAGCATGATTGAAGTAATCATAAACGTAAATGATTGGTAGGCATTAGTTCATAAATTCTTGATGAGATTCACTAAATTTATTATACTATCATGAATCATATCCATGATAATCTTTACACCAGAGGATTTGTTATACATAGGAAAGAGTTGTCGACATAAAACAATTGAACAGTGATGCAGCGGGTGACCTCCTACATCATATTTATGTGCGTGGTGTTTGGACAGTCAATTAGCAAGGGGGACAAAACGGTCCCAAAATTACTTGAACAAATTTTGACTCTGTGCGGAACGGGACATTTTTGTTACCTGAATAAAACCCTGTTTCCCTGGGAAGTCCAGGATTCAGCACAATACCCGCGTTGTCCGCCATGTTTTTGCGATCAGGAGTGTTACGTCAGAGGTGACTGCTGTCCTGATGTGTTCTTCTCCCCTCCAGTATCGGTCTGTAAGAACGTCACAATCGTTAATACGTCATCAAACTACCCTGAAAGAAAACAAAGAACATCATATTTAATGATTGACTCTTGTCCACACAACGCAGAGAGTAATAATCTCAAAAGATGCGAAAACATCACCAATGACGTCGATAAACTAAAATACCCACCAGTTACAAGTTACGATACTTCTCGAACATATTACAACCGGTTCTGTGCAATTTGCAACAATGATTTCAATTTTATTACCTGGCCTATCGATATAGTCTGTGACCAATTTCTGGATATCAATTTTATTTCAACCTTTGATGACGTCATCAAAAATGCCATCGCGCGTGAATGTGTGTTACAGTCATACCCCCCAAATGAAAACATTTCTTACAACTGTTACAAAGAAAACGAGCAATATTTTAATTCTTGTAATAAAACAGGGACGTGGAAACATTATATACAGAGTGTTGAATATGGATGTGAAGCTGATTACTTTAATAATAACACATTGTTCAAAAATATGTTCTGTAAAATGTGTAATCCAACATTCACTACTATCAGCACAATATCTCGGTGCAACATTAGTGGACTGTGGGATACTTTTAACCGTACAGTAAATAACGCATGTTTATATTACCGAGATAACTCTGGAACATTGCCATATAAGAACTTATTTTGCTATTTGTGTAACCGACCAGAGTCATCGAAATTTCCATTTTTCGATGTAAGCTTGGATATTAATACTGAGCTTTTATTTCGCAACGGGTCGTCCATTCCTATATTTTACTTTGATATTGATGTGCAGGAATTTTCATCAGAATATTTCCTTTTCATCAAACAAAATGTTTTTGAACAGTTTGGAGATATAAAAATGATAAATCAATCCCGTGATCTAGTTCTGGTAAATCACAATTATAGTGATTTAACAAATCTTGTACATAAGTCGTTTTCAATGTATTTTATATCGAAAACGTGTGGGGAATACCAAATTCCAACAAAGTTCATTGAACGTTCTACATGCTCATGTGATGCATCATGCATGTTCCTTAATGTAAGCACTAAATTTTGTTGTAATGATCTGTTCCTGGTGTACCCTAGAACCTGCTTAAAAGAAAAAATATTTTCGACATCGGAATCAAATAAAACATTTAACGAAAGGTTAGTGACTAGTGGGTGTTATGGTCTAGATAGTTATCCGGAATTTATAGGTGAAAAGTGTAGGAAACCGCCGGGGGACGCATTTTCTATTCACCCAGTCACCGATTTATCAACAGGCATTCCATATTTAAATATGTACTGTTTACTGTGTAGTGTTTCTCGGAAAGAAAAAAATTACAAACCCTGGACGATAAAATCACACTGTTTTTCATATATTGAACACACAAACTTCTTGCTTTATAGCAATTTCTTCAAATCTTTACGGGACGCTGATTGCAATTTGACGCTTTATCCCGCCACGAACAGTCGAAAATGTGACGAGATCACGCCTCATATTATAGAGAAATGCAACAGTTCAGGACATTGGCCAATTGCAGATGTAGGTGTAAGCTGGGCATGTGAAAATCTTCCATACACTAGCAAATATAGCTGGAAAGCGCCTAATCAGTTTGGAGGGGGTTTATATAAAAACGTTTATTGTGCTATGTGCAACCCATATAGAGCTCTAGAAATAACGATTGATAAGTGTCCAGGTAATTCTAATGATGTAGATCATTGTGATTTTTTCCCAAAAGTTTACTTCTATGCCCCCTACAAGAATCTCCATTGTGGAATCTGCAACGGCATGGGGATGGCTGTGATGAAAGGGGAACATGGTGGAATTGAAGAAGAAGAAGAGAAGTTGGTATCAAATTCCCTTGTTTGGTATCCTTTGCTGCGCAGTTTGTTTTCCGTCAGTGATGATTATGAGGATATGGAATTCAATCCGCTGATGAATCCGATCTGTTCAAGTGACCAAATCTATGACCCATTCCATGTAAGTGATTTCATTATTAGTTCTGTTCAATTGATCATATCTACGACCCATTCCATGTAAGTTATTTCGATATCAGATCTTTAATAATAAACAAATTTAGGAACGATTCGATGTCAGTTATTTCATTATCGGATGTGATAAAAAGATCAAATCTACGAATCATTCCATAGGAGTATTTCATCATCAGATTTGTTCAAAAGACGAAATCTACAACCAATATTCAATATACGCTTTTTCAATTTCTGATCTGTTCAAATGACTAAATCTACGACCCATTCTATGTAAGTTATTTCAATTTCTGATCTGTGCAAATGACTAAATTTTCGACCCATTCATTAAAGTTATTTCATGATCGGATCTGTTTACATGATCAAATCTACGACCCATTCCATGTGAGTATTTCATTATTGGATCTGTTCGACCAATTCCAGATAAGTTAATTGGTTCAGAATCGAATTCTTTCCGTTAAAAATGTTACACATATACAATATTCAATTACATAGGATGGTGTCTTAATGGGCAATTCAAATCTCATTTTATTTATTTTCTTCGAATTTTTATAGGTAAAATCCAACATCATCAAGATAGGAAAAAAACAAAACTAAACCCACATTTTTTTTTTTCAGGAAATCTGCAGGAATATAACATGTTTTCCCGGAAAATATTTATCTCATGGAGAAAAATGCATCCCGCTATTTTCAGTTACCAAAAATCTTCGATATAATTTGGATATAGAATTTAAGGGAATTTCTAAGTACAAGATATCAGAGGAAAATATTCAAGATTTAATCACAGACTTGATACCATTCAGAATTAAGAAAACCGTAAAACTAACGCAAAATATTTATTTTAATATCTTCCGAATGGAGTATGTTGAAAGTGACGGAAAATTCCATGGATGGATGCACTCTACAATTTTCATCAATGAATCTGTTCATAGACTGAATACGGAAAGATCACTCTTACGGTTTACTGAAACCAATTTTGAACATATCTTCAATGATACCTTTATTTTGTTTGATTTGAAGAACAAATATTTATCAATAGGGAAGAAAAACAGCAACATAACAGAACTAAGTGCGGAGAAAGATAGATATTCAAATTCAAATTATGGTTTATCATGGTATCATATATTTCAATATCGTGCGGTGCATATCACTAATGCGTTAATGTGCAAACAAGTGGAATTCAAATTTGAGGAATATGACTTTGATAGCATTCCAAACGTGGTGTTTTTAAAGAGCTCCGATATTTCTCTACCTGCTGTTAATGCCGATATATCGGAGAATGGGACTCTCAGAGTATGTCTTGATGACCTGATGGCTAAATACAAAACGGGAAACAATTTGAGTAGAACTTTCAGTAAACTTTCTGCTGCATTTTCTATCTTATCGTGTGTTTGTCTCTTAATTACGTTTCTTACCTACTGCTTCTTCCGAGAACTAAGATCACTTCCAGGAAAGACAATAATGGTTCTTGTGTCTACCATCTTGATCATCAATATTGTATCTCTGGCTAGCTATGGGAAAGACAAAAACAGCACAAAATGTACCGTCGTTGGTATTCTTCTTCACTATCTCTGTCTCTCGTCTTTTACGAGTATGAGCACCTGTTGCTACCATATGTATCGGGTTTTTCAGTCCAGAGTGCCAGTGCTGATGAGCAATAAGAACCTGATTATAAAGTATTGTATTTACATATTTCTTTTACCACTTTGTATTGTTTTGGGGAATATGATTGTTATGCTTTCGAGTCGGGGGAATGTTGGTTATGGAAAGAAACTTTGTTTCGTAGATGGAATGATGTCCTTAATAGTTACTTTTCTTGTTCCGGTTGGTTTAGTCTGCATCCTTAACATATTTTTCTTTACGCAGACGATACGTGCAATTAAACGTTCTCCAACAGTTTCTAACAATAAACCCGAAAGGAACGACTTTTTGATATGTGTACGCTTATTTCCTATAACAGGTGTCTTCTGGCTTTTGCAGATTTTGGACGGTATTTTACCACCAAGTTATTTCACGTACGTTATATCCGTCTTAAACACATCACAGGGCGTGTTTATTTTCCTGGGTTTTGTCTGCAATAAAAGGACAATACTTATGTACAGAAATGTGTTGAAGGAGAGGACAGGAAGTACTAAATCTACAGATCTCGGAAGTGCGTGTGTAACACCCAAAATGTTGATAAGTGAAAACAGTTTCTAGTTTTGGACATCAAATTGTACAAACGCTGACACACACAGTTATGTTATACAGTGTATGTTGTATTTATTAATTCTTATAATGTACTCAATGATAAATATTATTTACTGACAAGGTCATTTTATCGACAGTGGAACTTACGAAATTATAACTTTAAACGAGACTGCTGATATTCTCGTTTCATGAACTTGTTTTTCAATAATTTAATCGTATAGTTGATTAACAGTTAATTTGTCAGAAACGGTCATATCTCGGCAACAGAATAGGTGGATAATAACATCCTTTCCAAAAATAAGCATGGCAACCATTAAAACACAAATCTTCTGTCTCAGGAGAGACCTTTATTCAAGGTAGATAGAGAATGGGTGCATCCTTTTTATCATATCTAATATGTTTAAAATCTAAAGTAAACGATATCTTAGGTATTTGATACTTATATCATTGTTCAAATATTCAACTATTTTTCAAAGTGCTAATTGGACGTTTTTGATAGCAAATTGCTTAATTAAAAATACATATCTTTTCAAACTTGCTTTCAATGGGCAAGATGTCAAGTATCATTTTTAACTATCAGCCTTCCTTCACTAAAACGATTAATCCAATCATTAATTGAATTTATAGGAACTCATTTACCTCAATAAACTTTGTACAAATTATTATATGATACTGTAGAGGGATTTCTAAGATATTACAATAAATTATACAGTCGTTTGTTGAACGAGTTCGACTGATACAACCATTTTTCGTCTCAAGTGACCTAAATAGTGACGTCATTTTCACATTGTGACGTCAAAAACAAGGAGAGAAACTTTATTCAGCATATGCTATTTATAGACCTTGTGTATGGCTATGTGTGTACCGAATTTCATTCTAATCTGAATAGTGGTTTTGAAGATATAGAGATAGTTTGCGAACTTTTTAATCACCCCTCGTAATTGTTTTAGAAATGCTCATACGTAGTACAGGCCCTTACGTTTCGAATCAATGAGCTATATAGGTGATGAAGGTAAATTGCTGTTTAAGTAAGGCAAATTGATCATTGAAAATTTAAAGTCCTCAAGTGTTTTATAGCCCTTGCTACATTCTTTTTCAAATAAAATATCCAAACTTGACACAAAAGTAATGGCACAGTGTCCATATCATTTGTATTTCGTGTTATATTATAAAATAACATATATACCGAAATATGCACATATATGAATCTAATTAACATCGAAACTTCGGTCTAATATTGTGAAATCAAATCAGTTTTATAGATGTTTAAAAGATAAAGCAGAGGGGTGTCGCCGCATCACATCTAAACGTCACATTTTAAAGAATATTATTTTTAGGATGAGAAGTACAAAAACATAAAAGATCATTTTAAGCGTGTCTTATTGTCCAATAATTTTAAAAGACAAAATAAACTTATATGTGTTTCTAATGATGAGTTAAAAAAAATGTGTTTGACTTTGATGCATTGAACAAAGGTAGTGTTAAAAAGGGGACGCCGTAGCGAGCTGTTATGCATTTTGCAATCTGACTTCAAAAGTAGGATATTACCAGTATAGACGATTACACTGATTGATAAGCCTAGAAATGATAAAAAAGAAAAGAAAAGTCTTCTTTATAGATGATTTCAGCGATTTAAGGCAGTGTGATAGGTCGTTGAATTATTATTACAAAGCAGGAAACAGGTTTAAACCCCAGTTATATTTCCATAAATACAAACAGTCGCCGATTTTTTAAGGCAAAAATAGGATGATTCGGGTAACGGTTGTTTATCAACCGTTGTCTTGCCCGATTTTACTTTTTTTCGTCAGCCAACAAATTGTGTGTCTGTCAGACCATGCAATTATTTTCTCTGTTTCGATGCCGATTCCTTCAATTGAAGCGGTCGTTAAAAAGTCTATCGAATTATCTTCGATCATCATTGCACGTGTCAAAAACCGGCCGCGGATTTTCTTCAGTACCTAATACATTTACTTTGCTACATGTACAATGTTTAAAGAACGTACTCATAGTCCTCTGCGTCCCCGCAATCAGTTGAATTGGTACAAAATAACTCTTGCGGAAGTTTGATGTTTTAGTAGTTTTTACAATTAACCATTTAAAAAATAACCGTTACCCGAATCATCCTATTTTTGCTTTAAAAAATCGGGGACTGTTTGTATTTTTTTGGAAAAATGACTGAGGTTTAAACCTGTTTCCTGAACCTATCGCCTGCGCTGTAAGCTTAAATAGTCTTTCGACCAATGATCATAGTCCAACCATTGGCAGACATTTCGTTATGTCGACCGACGGTGAAAATCAAATTACCGCTTAGCGCACGATGGATGTTGGCCGACTTATTATTTATTTATTTTTTAATATCAGTGTTCTTACTAGCTATTAACAGAGAAACACCGACATCTTGCAAACGAACGTAACGCCCTAACTTCCCGTATCTCGATATTTTTCTCAGAACCAGTGTTTGCACCCATATAAAGTTAAAAATCGGAAAAAATAAGTATAAGTGCAAATAGAACGGAAAGTTTTTTTCATCATTTTGTAATTGAAAATTGCTTATGTTATTTTTGTAATCACTAATAATGTTTTTAAATTCGGACAAATGAAAAAAAGTTCGTCATAATACTTTAGAGGGATTTGGAAACACGTTTGTCATGCGTCAGTGATTAAACATATACAAACTACACGTATCGATCCTCATTGTAAACCGTCATCATTACACTCGATTTTGATATTATAAGGGCCCCCTGTACAGTGATTAAAATAAAAAACAAATGGTATCAAAAAATTGAAGAAAGTGTAAAGGAACTTGTTTATTTCAGGAATGACTCTAATTCTTGGCCAAATTATTCGATGATAACCTGGTTTAGGTCAGTTCACGCTTTTAAATCAGCAAAGCCAAGAATAAGTGTCATTTCTTATAATTTAATTTTAAAATAATTAAACAACTATGTGTGTAAAATTGTGTTGCTTTTTATGAGTTCAAATTTGCCGCTCAATGATACATCCCTAGTAACGGAAGTGATATGAAAGAAGGGGAGGTAATAACAGTTATAAGATAAGATAAGATAAGATTTATTAATACCAATTTGGGGCCCATCAGGACAGGGAATACAAATAATAAGAAAAACATACAAGAAGAAATTTCAAAATTGATAGCAGCAACTAACAAAAGATAAATGGTGTTACAGCAGTTGGGGATTACAACATATATAATCAATATACTGTAAATAAAAGTTTTTTGTTTTTTTTACTAGAGTATAAACATTATTACTCTTGTGTATTTATTTGTTTCTTTGTTTAACATTGCATAATCTGCTATTTCTTATTTTAAAGTTATTGATTAAAAAATTACCCAGCCTGATAAGCAGCATGTCATTTTCATTAGACATTGTTATGGGTCAGAATTACCCGAAATGCCAGCAAAGATCAATAACACAATTTAAACTTAACAATAATTTATTTACAGTAATATATAATAAGTATATGAAACATAAAGTACAAACTTAGCAAGAATCTAAAAATACATACATCAGAGTGTCCGTTGCTGCACACAATGTCCCAGTGAAAATATATCCCAGTTATATCTCAATAGTGCTTATACGACAAAGCTATTAGTCTCTATGCATCGAATTGACAGGGTATTTATACAGTATTATAAATCTAGAATATTCTAGAAATTGTTAAAACATGACATTACTGGAACAATCTGGACATACACAAAATTTAAGAATGTTCTAGATCAAATGAACGAACATGTTGACCACTCTGGAATGTTCAAGAAACTAAATGTTACTAATAATATACAAGATGAAACAATACAAATACAACACATCTCACAACACCTCCCCCCTTCAAAAGTTTGAATGTCAATGAAAACTTATATTATTAAAACATAGGTACAGTAATACAAAATCTAGTATGTTTACGATACTCTTGACAAGGCATCTGCTATAACATTGTCTTTGCCTTTGATATGCTTAATTGTTATGTTGTATTCTTGTAACAACAAACTCCATCTAGTCAGTCTTTGATTCTTGTTTGACAATTTATGTAAAAATGTCAGGGGGTTGTGATCAGTATATACAAGAATTGGATGCAAAGTAACA